AGCACTAATAGATTGGAGAGGTGCCCTTCGCTGCGGAACAGGCTTTTTCCGAGATTCACAAGCTTCACATGACTCACAATGCTGTTCAATGGCACTTCTCATTCCTGGCCAAAAACACAAACTCTGAGCTCTCTTCAGTGTACGTTCAGCACTGTAGTGTCCAGAACAGGGATCACCATGTAAATAGTGTAACATGTCCTGAATAAGAACATCAGGAATGACCACCTGATAAGTTTGGGGTTTACTTGGAGCACTACAGGCTGTATGACACAAGACTCCACCCTTCAACACCATACGGGGAACCTGCCACCAAAGTTGTCTCAATTTCCCCTTTACTTGTCTAAGATTAGGTCTCTTTTGATTTTCAACCCAACTATAGACCTGTGAGAGCAAAGCATCTGTTTTCTGATAGTATGCAATGTTCTTTTCCTCATCACCCAAAGAGGTACACAGCATCTGCACAGTAGACTCAGACGAACCATCATCGATTTCACATTCGGTCAGACAAATTTGTGACTCCACCTTAGGCTGACTTTCTGTACCATTGGCACCAACAAAAACAGCAGTCTGAGACGTGAGAGGCAAGTCATCTGTTTGAATGGATACTGTCTGTGTGCGAGGTGTCGGAGTTGTAGATGAATCTACAGGAATACGAGACATGGCATCCGCATTAGTATGTCTCTTGCCATCTTTGTGGATGATCACCCATTCATACGGATCAAGCTCCATAGCCCACCGACCTCTACGTCCCGTGGGATCAATATCAAAGTTCAATTTTCTCAGGCCAACAAGAGGTTTGTGATCGGTGACAATTGTAAAGGGGCAGTTACTCAAGTAGTGACGAAAATGTCTGAATGACCAAACTATTGCCCACAGTTCTTTGTCGTAAGTGGACCATTTTCGTTCAGTCGAGGTAAGTACGTGACTAGCGTATGCAACAACTCGCTCTTTGCCATCTTGAATTTGAGACAGGACAGCACCAAGTCCGTAAAGTACTGTAGTCCTGATCATGCTGACTGAAAACATCAGAAAAAGATATTAGCAAATCTGTCAGACTCTTTTGCTGTGTCACCGATAGCTCAGTATTAGAGAGATCTGGCAGCACAGGTGACTTGGGCATTGACACTTGACTTGACACAAATACATTTTGAGCATTCGAACAAATGTGTCCACAGTTGAAACACAAAGCAAAGTAACGTTAGACGTCACGGATAACAGAAAGCTGAAATCTTGCGCTCGATATCAGTTTCCAACGTGGTGATGCCACATCCATCACATTTTATACCCGTCGAAGAGAAAGTTCACTCACGCTCACAATATCTTAAAGAAATGTTTTAAAGGGGTCATATGAAGCGATTTCAAGCTTTCCTTTCTCTTTGGAGTGTTACAAGCTGCTCGTGCAGATAAGATCCCTAAAGTTGGAAAAACTAAAGTCTCAAACCCAAAGAGATATTCTTTATAAAAGATAAGA